TGAAAACAATTGATTGCGGAATGAGCTTTTTAGATTTAAGTAACAAGTTTAGTTGACGTCAATGCCATAATGCGACTTTCGGCTTCTCATATTTACGTTTTTTAAAGTAATGTGTACTCTGTTTTATTATTTAAGAAGCTAATTTAATAGCATAAAAATAGTTTCAAGGCAAGTTAAGATCTGTGATTTTGAGTACCGTGTATTGTGAGTACTGCATTCTAGTTTATGCTTTAAGAAACTCAAGTAGTCGATTGGAAGGCAGTTTTAAAACCTCCCGGGTTGACCGCCATTTACAAAAAATGCTCGTCATACAATTTATTTTCATACAATAAAATTTCTTATCATACATTTCCATACCTTGACTGTATGAAAAAATGCTTATCATACAGATTTCATTTATGAAATTGCATGGTAAGCTCTTATTTTTACATGGCTAGAAAAATTTTCGGAAGTAAAATTACCAAGTTTCTCTAATTGCGTGCTATGCTTTGTGAGCCAAGTTCTAGTTGCATTTAAGGGTACGGGAGAAGAAGAATTATTCTTGTTTGTTTTGATAATTTTTTAAATCTTTGAACGATCTATAAAAAGTTAAAGCCCACGACAGTGTACCCTATCTACCCTATTATACTATTCATCTTTTTAAGGAAATTTCCATTTTACCCTTCGGTTTTGCAACCATACTGTGCGGGTAGTGTCAAGACGCAGCCAATAGTTCCTGTGAACAAAGACAGGAATGACCTCGTAGGAATTCTGCCCTTTTGGTTATAGGCTTCAATAAATTCTCAATTCTCATGGAGACTTGAAATTGACATTTTAAAAAAATTGTCTGGAGGTCGTTAAACCCCGGCGAGGTATTGCTAGCACTTGGAACTTTCGGGGACTAGACCTCTGTAAAACCAAAAAAACCAGCAAGTAGCAAAAAGTCCACTCGCAGGAACAAAACCCGGATTGACTTCCTTTAAAAATTCTTATTACAAAACTTCCTGAACAAAAAATGCTTGTCATTCAGTTCCATTAATTATTTGTATACAAAAAAAAACTGATTTTTAAACCTTTTTTCTACAACATAAAAAATTGATTAAAAAAATTGAAAAAACCCTGTGGCTCCTTGAAGTCAGCAGAAGAGTTCAACGATGAAGAATCTTTTTTTAAGAAAAACTTACCATTCACTTTCCATGCATGGAAATTGCATGATTGAGGACTAGGTTAAATTCATTGTTGAAAATGAGGTTCCAGCCTCTTAAGTACACTTTTATTCACGGGTTTTTTTCTCTCTATGTAAAGAATTAAAACGTCGATTTTGCATCATTGTAATTTCCATAATTTGAAATACAATTTCCATTACTTGACATCTTTTAATTACACAGTTTTCAATTATGAAAAATTGCTTGTCATACAAATTTCATGGATGAGAATGTGTTTATCCTAGAGATTTTTTGCATTTTTCTTGTATGATCATAAAAACTTGTGTGAAATTTATGACTACAATTTTTTACGTTAGAATTGTACGATAGAAAGTTTGGATCATTTCGGGAACATATTCTCTAGGGTAGATGTAGATGTGTAGTGAAAAGATCGTAAAAAGTTAACACCTAGTAGAGTATAGTGCTTTCAATTGGGGTAAAACTGATACCATCACCAATGAAGCGCGCTCAAAATCACGGGTAAATTTTTCACAGGGGAATCGAAACAGAGGTTCGGCGGCTCTGGAGTGTTTAATAACGCCGAAGTACAACAAAGCCCGAATCTTGAAAAAAAAATTTATGAAAACTTTGTTAATTGCTGTAGCAAAATTTTTTTTTTCAAAAAAGGACGCTTGTTTTGTTTAGGAGTTTAGTTTTTTTCGTATTGATTCCAGTAACAATTACAGGAGTTTTTTCGTTTCTCGTGCCATTCTAACTTAATGTTAATAGCTTTTGTTCTTTTTCTTAAGTTCTTGTACAACTTTATTCAAAAAAAAAATCGGCACTCTTGAATTTCGGCACTACTGGACTGAGCCAGCGGCTCTAATGTCTATTTGGTTGTGGTTGCTTATTCATTCGAAAGTTCATACGAGCTGAGAAGTTTTTTTCAAAGCCGATCCTAACTATATTCTGGAATGGTTCAATTGAAAACAACATTCCAGAACGACAATGGCAAATTATACATTTTTTTACTCGCCACAGTGCGCAAAATGCACTCGGTATTACTCCTCTGAATCAAGCGATAGCTATCTCTGAATAATTGTTTATCGGGAGTATTTTGTATCAAGAATTGACAAAAAAAAACCATTCCGTCCCTAGCAAACTATGGTCCTAAAAATGTGTAATTCAAAATTGGATTTGGAAAAATGAAGGCTCCTTAAGATACTGTTTCAAGGAAACTTGTGTCTCAAAAGGCCTCTATTCAAATGTACATGAGAAAATCTGAAACCTCTTCCGCCTACGATATTCAATTTTTCCGACCTTTTGAAAGAACGCGAAATAAAACATCTTTAGAAATAAAAATGCTTCTTAAAGTTTAAAATAACGCAAATCTTGATAACTCTTCACTAAAAGTAAGAAAGTCGACTTTTAGTCAACACCCCTACTAATGATTGAGTTCGTGATGTTTTAGAAAGTGCTCGGTAACAAGATAATTTGGTCCGCTGCTTGTATTACCTCAAATGAAACGTGAACTTCATTCCGTTGAAAAGTTAAAGAACTTGAAAAGAGAAATTTTTTCGAAATTTCCTTTTTTCTGAATCATTTTTTAGATAGCAACCCTGATTGACTTCCATAGACCAAAAAAAGAACAGATAAAAAAGTCTATGAAAAAATTCTGATCATACAAATTTTCTCTATTTTGATGAAATGAGATCATCGAAACTTCAAAAAAAAGTTTCTGGATTTGGCACAAACGTCGATGTATCGCAGTAGCTGATTTAGTAGGGGGTGCGGTCGCTCTTCCTCAGGGATTCGACCTCCTGCCGACCCATAGGGTCCCCCTTTGTACTATTTTGAGATATCCTTTTTTGGCTGACGGACCCTAAAATTTTTTTGAAGGCACCTTCGGCGCCACTATATACTAATTTTAAGGGGGGGAGGAGCGCACGCTTAAAAAACGCTATTTTTTGGTCAACATTTTTCAAAAAAATCTAAAAACCTTTTTAACCTATTTTTTAGGTTAAAATTTGGCCAAACCGTTGTCTTTTAGTACTCTTTGGGAAAGCTCAAAAAATTAATTTGGTCGACCTAAAAAAAAGATTGAGAAAATTTTCAATTTTTTTTTTCGAAAATCCGCACCCCCCTCCCTCGAGAAACTCCTAGATCCGCGCCTGATGTATCGTCATAAAAATTTTGCGATTCAAAAATGCAATTGATACAATTTGCATATATGGAAAATGCATGAATAGCATTTTTTTTATAGCGACAACAATACTTTTTTGGGGTAGTTTGTGAATTGCCCCAAAGAAGTTATTAATTATATTTAACCGCAAAACAATATTTCTACTGTAAGGTATCATTTTTCAAGAAACTTTTTTTAGGTATATAACATAGTCCTGGATGCACGAAAAATGGATTTCTTCACGTTTCACTGAATAATTTCAAAGCCTTGATCAATGCGTGATTAATTAAAAATCAAATTAAATAAAAATTTTGCCACATATCATATTCTGAATTCTTTCTTTATATCATTTGTGTAAGAATAGTCTAAGACATTTCAAGTCGTTTCCTAGCTCTTTTGTTTTCTGATACAAACGCAACCCAAACATTTTGAGAACAGATTAAATAGAAAAAAAAGTCAAATAATTTGATTTAAGGAAAAATTTCCATTATATGAAAACATACCATTTCCATATATGAAAAATCACTAGACTTTTATGCATTTTTTTGTACTTATGGAATTGCATGAAAAGTGTATCATTAGCAATTTTCCATAAATAAAAATTGTATGACTACCGTTTTTGTCAACCCGGATTTCAATAGATTTTCTGAACACCTTTTGAATTGAGGATCAACCTTTCAATTTCTCCCCTTAGCTGGCCTACCGTAGAAGGTCCACTCCAAGCATGTTTTAATTCTGAAAATTAACTCTGTATAAAATATGCATTTCATACACACGCGCAAAAATTTTTTATCTTTTGAAAATCTCATTCATTTTGTATTTTGATCGGCTACAAAGCAGTTAACCCCAATTTTCTAATATAATTTGATAATGAAACCTGATATGTAGGTAACATAACATTCTCTACAAGGTTATTGCGTGAAAAAAATGTAATTTCTTCGCGTTATAACAATTGGGGGAATGGCACTGTTCATCCTGAATTAAAACCTAACTAGCAAGCCTACCTCCAATAATCAAATGGCTCGCAAAAAATTAGTTATTGTTCTAATCAAGCTATCCAAGTAATCAAACTTTGAGTCTTTTCAGGTTTAGCCATATCGCAAATCGGTTTGAAAAATTTAAGGCTTCATAGAACGAATCGGTTCCCGAAAAATTGACGTTTTTTAAGCCAGCTAGTCCAGCTATGAGACTTTGAAAAATTCTCTATGAAGAAACTCGGATGGCGAAACTTCATTTTTCTAAGAAGCTATTCAAACGATGAAACATTGAAATATTTCAAATTGTTCTATAGAGCGAATCAGTCGGCGAAAAGTTAGGTTTCTCTTAGTAAGCTATTTCAAAACGTTCCACAGAGAAAACAGGATTGCAACCGATTCAAGTTTTTCTACGCAAGCTATTGAGCGAAGATTTTGAATGTTTCAACTTTTTTTCATGCAGCAAATTGGCCGGCAAAAAAAGAACCTTTGTAGTTTTTGAATTTTTTCAGTATGAATTGAATGTCGAAAGTTTTCTATTTGGGCCATTGAAGTGACGAATCTGAATAATTTTAGTTGTTTCATAAAGGTTATCTGACAGCATAAAATTGCAGTTTTTTATATTGCAGCCATTCAGCCGATGAAACACTTTTTGCTTTTTTCATAAACCAAATCAGTTTTCAAAAAATTCATTTTTCTAAGCAAATTGAATGGCCAAAATTTGTTTTATAATTTAAAGCCATTTAAGCGACAAAAATTTGAATAGTTTTAAATTATTTCATTCAACGAATCGATCCGCGAATAATCAAATTTTTATTAAAACTAAAATTTTAAAGACTGATTGGCTTCGCGAAAAATTATAAAACTTTTCTAAGCAAGCTAAGAAAGTGAAACAATTCAATTTGTTTGTTAGAGCTAATCAATTTGAAAAAAAACTGAAGTAAAAATTTCATAAAGCAATCAGTGAGCAAAAAGTTTTCTTAAGCTATTCAAGCTCTGATTTTTTTCCAAGTTATCTTATGAAAGCAATCGAATAGCGAAAAAAAGTGAATTTTGTTTATTGCACCATTCAACCAATAAAACTTTGCAATACTTGAAAAACAAAGTATTTCCATAGACCAAATTGGAAAATTTCCAAACTTTCTAAGCAAGCTATTCAAGCTACGAATCTTTGTAACAAACGAAGACAAATCGAATAACGAAAAATTAAAATTTTCTGCTGAAGCCATCGAACCAATAAAACTTCAAAATACTTGAAATTTTTTCATAAAGTTAACTTTAAGATTTTTTTTGGAGCCGATCAAGCGATGGAACGAAGAAATGATTCATAGATCAAAGTGATTAGCAAAAAAAAATTTTGCTTTGCTAGCTACTTGGCTTAAGCTTTGAAAGGCTTCAACTTATTTCTTAGACCGAATCGGTTCGCCGAAAGCTTATGTTTTTTTTGAGCAAGCTATTCAAGCTATGAAATTTCACCAGCTATTTCATCATCTGTTTCCATTTTTCCAACAAAATTAGGTTTTACTAAGCAAGCTATTCGGGCTATCAAACTTTTCTATTAAACTCGTAGATTAAATCGAAGCATAAAAAAATTGAACTTTTCTAAGCTAGCTATTCAAGCTATGAAACTTTGAATTGTTTCAAATAATTTTATAAACAAATTAAATTGCGAAATGTTCAGTTTTTAAAAACTGAATTAGTTTCAAAAACTGAATTAGTTTCCTAATATTAGTTTCAAAAACTTTTTATGCAGAGAATCGGATAGCGAAAACATGAAGTTTTTCTTTTTCATTCACTCAATATATAAAAAATTTCGAGTTATTTCAAAGAACTATTCGGTTTTTGAAAACTTAATGTTTTTAAGCTAATCAAGCTATGAAACTGAAAGGTTTCAAGTTTTTTTAGGAATCAAGTCATTTTAAGAATCAAGTCAGAAACAAGTTTTTCTAAGCAATTTATTTAAGCCATGAAACTTTGAAATATTTCATAGTGTTTCTTAGATCTAATCGTTATGCGAAAAGTGAATTTCCTCTAGTATTCAAGCAAGGCAACTTTTGAAAATTTTCAGATCATTGCGAAGAGCCAATCAATTGGCAAAAAATAAGGTTTTTTTTAGCAGCTATTTAATTTATGAAACTTCAAAATAACTCAATTTATTTCATGAAGTTAATCGGATAGCATAACACTTACATTTTACTGCAGCAAGTTATTGAAGCTATAAACAATTGAAATATTTCGAGATGTTTAGACAGAAACTTTTTGCAAAATTATAAGTTTTCTAAGCAAGCTAATCGAGCGATGAAACTTTGGAATTCAATAAAATATTTCATAGAGCAAGGCAGTTCACCAAAAATTGAAGTTTTAATAAACCAAGTTATTGTAGCTATGAAAAAGTTTTTTTCCGAGTTCGTTTTTAGAAATTAGTTTTTCTAAAAAAAATCAAAGCGGTTTGATAGATCGAATCGTTACGGCAAAAGTTGAAGTTTTCCAAAGCCAGCTATTTAAGCTATGAAACATTGAAAAATTTCAAGTCTTTTCATAAAGTGAACCGGATGGCAAAATGAATAAGTGTTTCTAAGAAAGCTATTTTAGCAATGAAACTTTGACATTTTTATGATATTCAATGAAACGAATCGGTTCACGGAAAAAAATAATCAAGCTATTCAAGCTACAAAACTTTTTAAAAATTACTTCAAAGACAGATTAGGTTTGCGAACATTTTAAATTTTTCTAACTAAGCTTTTAAAGCTATGGAAATTTGAAATGTTTCAAGTTATTTCATAGACTGAATCAGTTCGCAAAATGCTTCAAATGTTCTGAGCAAGCTATTCATGCTATGAAAGTTTTCATGCTTTTGAAACTATGAATTCAATTTATTTCGGAGACCGAACCGGTTCGCGAAAAGTAAAAGTTTTTCTAGGCAAGCTATTCAAGCTTTGAAACTTTGAAATATTTCAGGGTATTCGGTGGAATAAATTGGTTCGCGAAAAGTTTAAAAGATTTCTAAGCAAGCTTTTAAAGCTATGAAATTTCACATTGTTTCAAGCTATTGCATAGACTGAAACGATTCGCGTAATGCATAAGTTTTTCTAAGCAAGATATTTAAGCTATGAAACGTTATTTCATGGACCAAATGATTTCGCAAAAAGTTTCTTTTTTAGCACGGAAATCAATTCGCGAAAAAAGTAAACTTTTTCTAGGCAAGCTATTAAAGCAATAAAATTTCGAAAAAATTCGCGTTGTTTCAAAGAGCGAATCAGTCGGCGAAAAGTTCAAGTTTTTCTTAGTAAGTTACGTTAGCCATTAAACTTTGAAACATTTTCAAGTTATTTCATAAACTGATTTGATTCGCAAAAATTCAAGTTTTTCTAAGCAAGCTATTCAAGCTATGAAACTTTGAAATATTTCAAGTTATTCCGTGGGCCGAATCGGTTCGAGAAAATTTTCAGTTTTTCTAAGCAAGCTTGTTTTTATGCTATGAAACGCTGAAATATTTCAGTTTCTTTCATGGACCGAATCGGTTCGCAAAAAATTCTTTCTTAGCATGAAAGTTGTTTTTTAGTGGATTCGTTTCAGACTGAAATGAATCTGTAAACACAAACTTTGGACAAAAATTAGACAGGTACTGTCTAGCCTAGAAGCTGGATCGAGTTCATCTTCCTCTGATGGTTGCTCTGAATAATTTTTAAACGTTGAACTCGATAGAAAAGTTAAAACGTTGCATCCATAGCGCATTAAGACTTTCATTTAATATATAAGATTTATGATTCATAAAATTTTCTAAGAACTGAAAACTAAGCACATTTAGATTTTTTTCATTCACAAGCAAACAAATTTTTCATCAGTCTAAAAAAAATCATTTTCAAACGGCTATGCAGATGAATTGCGCTTTTGTAAATACTTTTGCCTCAAACTCATTGCTTGCAGCAGCGAGTATTTTTAAACGTTTTTTTTTCTGTCTGAAAACAAAGATGAAATTAATCAATGCCCAAATTCCATAGATGTTTTATTTTCAACTTGCTCTGGATAGAAAAGGCCACTTTTTATCAGCAGTTTTTGTGAAGCAATAATTGGACATACTTTTCAAACGGCTTTAGTTTATACCCTTTTAAAAAGTATGCTTTTGTTATCGATCGACCATCATTTTCCCGCAAATTACCTGGAATTAGCATGGAAAAAGCTAGAGTTAGCATATCTATTGAATAAGCGCTTTGAGAGTTTTCTTTTTCAACATAGATATTAGTTTATCAGATTAGGAGCAGTTTCTGATTATATAATTCCTGGAATAACTTAAGCGGTAATTTGCATAAACCGTACCAAACATCAGTAACTACTAAAGAATTAATTCAAACTGTTTTGCATTAAATGAAGGTTATTGCTCTCAATTAACGGCATAGATTTTCAAAATCAACAAAATTTATGGATTTGCGATTAAGTTTCCGTAAAAATTTACTGCCAAATAATAACAAAAAAAGTTGGATTCGATAAACTACAATGTAATATATCAAAATAGGTCGAAGATTCTCCGCAAAAATTTGATTGACAAAATAATTGAAGTTTCTAACTTCGATTTATGATCTTAAACCAATTTTAGTTCTAGCCTTAAAAATATATGACCGATAGTTTATGTCAAAAAGATCAAAAAAATCGAAATAACAGAAAATGTCAATTGTCTGACAAAAAATGTGGTTAACGAAGTATGTCATATTTCGAGCGTTTTTTGAAACGACACTCTCCTATTTTGAAGATTTTAAAAGTTTCAAAGAGCTTGAGTATTCGAAGAAAGTGATTTTTTAAATTCGGCCTACTGAGCAGTTAAGTAGTTTGAACTGACCGCGGGAAGTGCGAAGAAGGATATGGCGAACACGCTGAATATGGAGGCTACCACTTTGCCCATCCAAGTCTGTGGGACGATGTCCCCGTAGCCGATCGTAGTCACTGTTGTCTAAAGCAGAAACACAATGATGATCATTAGCAGCGAAAAAATTTAAAAGAGCAATCCTCCCCCCTATTCCCTTGTTCAATTGAAATAGATATTAAGTACCATTTAAGTACCAAACTTTGAAAAAGCAACCCCCCAAAAAAATCCCTTGTTCTACTCAGATTTTAAGCACCGTAAGGGGAAGGTTTGAACAAGATCCGATCAACCGGCAGACGACTTTTAAACATAATTAAAATATTAAAATGCTTTTGTTTAAATTTGTACAAAGATAAACTGGCTAGTTCAGATGAAAATCATTATAAAAAAATGAATAAATAAACAAAACTCACAATTCCCCACCACAGAGCATCGGCGTAGTTCCCGAATGCACTCGCCCCCTCCTCTTTTCTTCCTCCTCTCCTAGGAGGAGGGGCGAAATGAGACCCCCGACTAGAAGTCGAAGCACATGAGCAACCTCCCCCGTCTCCGTCTCCTTCTCCTGTTTCCGATGATCCAGTCGCACTTGTTTCGTCACCATCTGGTATTTTTTCGAATAAAAAAAAATGAAAAAGCGAAAAAAAAATCTTTTTCATCGAAATGACAAAGGAAAATTTTTTGAAAAAACTTTAACAGTCAATGGCCAATACAACTTTTTTTTGTTCAATAGAATGAGAATTGTTCTGCTTTTTCCACAAAACAAGTTTCAAACTGGGAAAAATTCCCTCTGTACATGAAAAATGGAAGTCTTCAAAACTGAAAATGCCTACCTTTTTCAGCACTCCTTCTGCTTAACCCATTAGGAGGGAACAGAGTAGACCACACCCCTGGATCCGGAGGTCTGTTCGATGACTCAGACTTTGAGGAGTCTAACACTAAGAAGTTGGCTGAAGTTGACGACGAAGATTGTGAAGATGATCCGGCGTTGAATTCGAACAGGTAGACCAAGTAAGATGCGAAAATGAGACAGAGAAAGCCAATGTAGAGAGTGGTGATGAGTTCCTGGAAAACATTTGACAAGAGATCAAAAACCCAAATTGTTCAAAATAAATACACATATCTTGTTCCCGTCATTTTTTCAAACAAGAATTGAACTAGAAAAGAGTTTTATAGATCCGCAGTTTTTGAGCGCTATCGGTGGCAAAGTTATTTTAGAGATTTTTCAGGGTTCGTTCGGAAGATAAAAATTCCATGCAATTAACGGTGAGGCCTGATAGTTTTCCTAGATTTTCTGCGAATCGCAAACAAAAACAAAAAATTTAACAAAAGGGCGACACGTTGGGCGGCGAAGAGGTCAAACTCCTGGGGGACACATCCGCCTCCTTTTCCCACCCTTAATTCGCCCAAAATTCGTATCCCTTGAAGATCATCATTGAATCTGTGAAAATACTTTTTTGTTCAATTTCCTCAATTAATTTGCAAAAAGGCAAAAAGTGGTCTTGACTTCTTAAAAAAGCTGTCAATCAATTTGCTATTATAAGTAACAAAATGAGTGGAGTGAAAACGTGACATAATGTGTGACATAATGAGTGACATTATGCGTGAATGTATGCCAGAATGAATGGCATAATGTGTGAATGTGTGACATAATGTGTGACATAATGCGTTCATGTGTGACACAATTAGTGATGTAATGTGTGACATAACAAGTGACCTGTCTATGGATGTACACTACTGAGCTGAGGAGTCTCCAGGAGCCCCCCTTTCTGTCCACATGCAACATCCGCAACATCTGCAGGAATCGGATACCCCTAGGAGAGAGAAGGGTCAAAATCAATGACAATAGTTAAATCCGATGACCTATTATGGATAAAAGGTCAAAGTTAGGCTCTTTTTCCTCTTCAATCCCCCACTCATCTATAGTGTTTTAGAAGTAACTTTTCTGTTCACATTATCCGATTGTTGCAAAAATTGGCATGCGGACTAATTAGACCACAACAAACATATTTGATTTTGATACATAACCCTGTAAAAATCTTCGTTACTTTATAAAAATGACAATTATGTTAGACGACGGCAAGAACCCAAAGTTAAATAGATCACTGTTCACCAAAAAATAAGCAAAAAAAACGTTTTTTTTTGTTTTTTTGACAACATCAATAACTGCAAATAAGTAAAATACTGAACGCTGATAAATTTATCAGGTAATACTTATTTATACTCGATCACGATTTTTTTTTTAAACAACTTGAATTTAAATAGAAGTTTATTTTCTATTAAATCTTGAAGTTTATTTTCTATTAATACTTTGAAAGAAACTTTAATAACTCGATCATAAAACACTATGTTTACTATGTTTACTTGTGTAAAAGTTACCTGATGGTGGCTCCTGCGAATATTCTGCTGTCTGAGTCAGAGAGAAGGGCCACAATTGAAGCCAAGATCACAAACAAATCTGCAAACAGAACCCAAAAAAACATAACTCAAAATGTGAACTTATTTAAAATTAAAAACAATTAAATTATCAGAAATGACCTATAAACTCGGCTATATCTGAAAGAAATGTTTTTTTTTAATTATGAAACCAGGCGCGGATCTAGGATTTTCTCGAGGGGACAGATTTTCAAAAAAAAAATTGAAAATTTTGTCGACCTTTTTTTTAGGTCGACCAAATTTTTCGGAGCTCTCCCAGTTCTCTATAACCCAATTTGACCAAATTTTCTGCGCCACTCAAATTGTTCATTTTACTTATATGAACCTTTTTAAGACGAGTAATTAACCTAATTTCACAAAACTTTATCTATACAGAAAATGTTTCTAAGACATTTGGTAACAGCTTCATGCTGATTAACAGTTGCCCGGGTTGACCTCCATAGAAAAAAAATGCTTATCATACAATTCCATGCAAACAAATCCTTATCAAACAATTCCGTGCATGGGTGATATGGAAAAAATGTTTATCATAGGATTTCCATTTATGAAAATTGTATAATAAGCATTTTTTTCATTGAATTTTTTTTTTCAGAAAAACCTTCAAAAAGAATTTTTATGTAAGTTTAAATGAGTTTGATTCGTTTTCTGGTTAACTTAGATCAAGTTGGCCCATTTTTTTCATTTTTTTGAGAAAAAAAACGTTTATCATACGATTTCCATTTTATGAAAATGGTATGATAATCATTTTTTCGATAAACAAGCTTTAGCCGCGACACAAAAAATTTTCCAAGTAATTGTGAAAATTTGCCCCACATTTTTTTTGTTTTTTTTTCAACCAACAAACGTTTTTCGAAAAAAATTTTGCCTGCAAAATTTAATTTTTTGTGTGCATAACGTAGTCCTGGATACGATAATATTGGCCTTTTTTTCTTTTTACTTCAAAACTTTTTTTCAAAAACGCTGGCTTTTTTATATTGGCTTTTTTTCTTTGTACTTCGAAATTTTTTTTTTCAAAAATTTCCTATTTCTTTTGTATGGCGTGTTTATGTATGCCCTGATCAATGTCTGATAATTTGAAATTTCAAAAAATTAAAATAATCATCATCGAAAAATTTGTTATATTATTTGTGAAAGACAGCTCGAAGACAATTCAGGGCGTTTTCTATGCATTGCAAAAGCAAGACCTTTGTCCAACCTTTGGTGCTTTGAGTAACCAAAGTCTTTGTCATTTGGGTTCGGTTGCAAACAGAACCCAAATTGTTTCAGAAAATAAAATTAGAAACAAAAAACAACTTTTTGGTTTAAGGCAAAAACACCTATCATACAATTCCATTTAATGGCAAAAATGGCTATCATACAATCCCATTGTATGGAAAAAATGTTTATCATGTGATTTTCATACGATTTTTTTATTCTATGGAACTGAATGGAATCGTATGATAAACATTTTTTCCATAGTATGGAATTGTATGATAAGCATTTTTTGTCAACCCGGGTGAAAACTCTGATTGGTATTTCTTATTGGCTTTTTTTTCACATTTTCACATTTTAAAACTTTTACATTGGTTTTTTCCACATTTTCAAGGGTAGAATCTCAGTGGGCATTGATAATACCCTTTGTCTTTGCTATCCTTAGTTTTGGTGCTTTTTCTAATCAATTTTTAGTTTGGATAAGTTTGATAGGATAATTGATTTTGGATAAGTAAATAAATTCTTTCTCTCTTTCTTTATTTCTTTCTTTCTTTCTTCTTTCTTTCTTTCTTTCTTTCTTTCTTTCTGTCTTTCTTTCTTAAGTGAAGGGGGGCGGTTTGGTACAAGATACAAATTGACATATGCATAACTGTTGAATTAGTTTTTTATAGGGGTCGATATTCTTTACTAGGTACCATAGGGGGAGCGGCGAAATGGTTAAGTAGGCCTCTTTCTTTCTTCCTTTCCCCTCCCCGATTTATAACTTAGCTGGAACTGACCGATGAATGCGACTGGTTTCCTGGCGAATCTGAATCTGCCTTTGAACCCCCTGTACTTCACTCTACACCCTGCAGACCACACTCGGATGAAGTACTCCGTGGCGAAAAAGAGCAGCAGAAAGATCTCCTAGTAAACAAACACAAAACAAACCAGATCAAAAAAAAGGGGTGGACTTAGTAGGGGGGATGGGGACGAGGACGGGGACGGACTCTCCTTAACTCAGAGTCCCCCCTTTGGTACTACTATGGCACCAACTTTTTCATGATGAAATAATCAAAATAATCCTAATAATAATTGAGGATTCTGCGAATCGCAGAAAATCTATGAAAGGCTATCAATCAGGCCTGTCTATGCATAGTGGGTTTCAATTATTGTCCCAAGTTTTGAAAGTCGGAACAACAAGCAATCTGTCTTTTTAAACATGCAATCTCCCTTTTGTCTATGCATAGTCAGTTTTCATTGCTGTCCCACGTACTAGACTGAATTAGTTTCTCAATGCATATTTTTGAGCTCATATTAAGTTCATATTTTTGATTACGTATATTTGAGCTCACGACACTAAAACTTTTTGAATAATGCAAAACATTTGACAACAATTACTGGTTAAAAAGTCAAAATTGGTCCGGAGAAAAGCCCACGCCGTGCACAAATATTCCAACCCTCTCTTTGGAAAAATCTACCTTTTATCTATACATAGTCTGTTTATATTGCGTCTCCACATTCCAGACTGCGATAATTTGTCAATGCTACACAATAATTTACCAAAAAGTAGGATCACACAGAATTTTAGTGGAGGCCAAATTAAAGGCAACATCTGTGACTTCAAAAAAAATTGCTCAAGTTGAATTTTAAACCACTCTAGCTTTATAAAAACTAGTCACAGAGGAATTATTGTGTTAAATTTGAGCTCAAGACATTAATAATTTTCGAAACATTCTTAAAAAATGTCAAAAAGTGCTCAATTGCCGGAGAAAAAACCAAACCGATCACAAATATTCCATCACTTTTTCGAAAGTCGGAACAAGTAATCTGCCTTTTTAAAGAAATAATCTGCCTTTTATCTATGCATAGTTTGTTTCTATTGCGTCTCCACATTCCAGACTGAGATAATTTGTCAATGCTACACAATAATTTACCAAAAAGTAGGATCACACAGAATTTTAGTGGCGGCCAAATTAAAGGCAATATCTGTGACTTAAACAAAAATTGCTCAAGTTGAATTTTAAACCACTCTAGCTTTATAAAAACTAGTCACAGAAGAATTATCGTGTTAAACTTGAGCTCAAGACACTAATACTTTTCGAAAAGTTCTTAAAAAATGTCAAAAAGTGCTCAATTGCCGGAGAAAAAAAAACAAAACGATCACAAATATTCCATCACTTTTTTCGAAAGTCGGAACAAGTAATCTGCCTTTTTTTTTTAAATAATCTGCCTGTTATCTATGCATAGACTGTTTCTTTTGCTTCCTCAAATTCCAGACGAATTGTTTTCCCAATGCTCTATAATGCGTTGGCAAAAGAACTAAAGTGAATGCTAAACTAATAGCAATATCTGTGACTTTCTGGAATTTTGCTCAAAAATTGAGTTGGAGACTTTTTTTCAGTTTTAAGGGACTGAAAAGTGTGAAAAATGATATTCGACTATACAAAGAGCAACATCAGCATTATTAATTTCGTTCAGATTCAAAGAATGAAAAATGTAAGGCGAACGTTTTGGTACCAACTATAAATCAGACAAGCAACCTGCGCAGAAACAAAAAGTGGTTTCTGCGATTCGCAGAATATAGAATTATGAGAGGCTAACCACCATCTCTAAGCACAGTCCGTTTCTCTTTTTTCACCACATTCCAGACTGAGATACTTTGTTGAGCGAAGCTCTTTTTACTCAATGTCAATTTTTCTGCGTGTAGAATTTTATTGTGTGTTGTGATTTGTTTTAGTGTCTTAAATGACCTTCGGTATTTAATTAATACCTGTTATCCACTTTAGATACGACCATTGGTCGATATGACAAAAGATCAGTTGTCCTTTTAACGTTCTTAATTCACATACTTCCTTTTAATAGTTTTAGTCTTTTAAGTTTATGTACAGCAATTGTACATAGGTAAGCAGAATTAGAATAGTTGAGTGTGAGAACTATTTACGACAAAAATGGTCTCGAAACAAAGAAACTCCTGAACTTAGGCATCGGCTGGGATATGATTGTAAATATGAACATACCAGTAGATTCAGCAAGCCCCGTAAGTTTTTCAAAATAGAATGTATTACTCGAAATTAAACTGAGATATCCGAACCTCAAAATACACCCCGTGGAGAAAAGGATAAAAGACTTATATCGCTGGGCATAGAAGTGACACAGAGGAAATGCCCCCAATCAATTTGCATGGTCAACCAACCTACACTCGAGCGTGAGTACAAAAACTTACCTTCTTTATCTGGCAAGATTTTTAACGAGTTCAAAGAACTATTCATTAGAGTGGGGAAAAAACCTAACGACCGAAAAGTAACTCATTTCCACTCACCTTTTAAACCAATATAATCCAAAGGGAGAAGAGTCCCGATTCACTTACTCGCTGGAGTGAACGAAGAATTAAAAAGAATGGAGACAGAAGGTCATATAATGAAATTAGAGAAATGCGACGAAGATTGCTTTATCAGCCCAATTGTAATTACTCGGAAAAAGGATACTTCGATCAAACTGGCAATAGACTCCAAATTATTGAACGATCAAATTTTTAAAAATAATTATCAAATGCCGAACATCCACGAACTTATAGACAACGTGGCTCTTCAAATTTCAAAGAAATCCAACGGGCGAGTTTGGTTTAGTAATCTAGCCCTGAAAAATGCGTATAGCCATCTCACACTATGCGAACAAACGAGTAAGCAGTGCAATATTAGTATAGTAGGCGGCAAAACTACCGGAACGTATCAATTTTTAACGGGATTTTACGGACTGGGGGACGTGCCAAATGAATTTCAACGGGTCATGGACTCACTGTTAAAAAATATCCCTTTCACAAATTGCTACATAGATACATAGACGACATCGTGGTAGCTTTGCGTAGATCCTTTGAAGAACACAAAGCAATAGTGTATAAAATCTTATCAATATCAGATAAGAACAATATGGCAGTTAAATGGGGGAAATGCGAATTTTTTAAAACAGATATCGAATGACTTGGCTTCAAAATTTCCGGCGACGGAGTAAAACCTTTGGTAGGAAAAGCTGACGCAATTAAAAACTTCCAACCCCCAAGAATAATTCCGAATTACGTTCGTTCTTCGGTTCGATAAACCAGTACGTAAAATTCGTCCTTAGCTTATCGACCCAAGGTTATCCCCTTCGTCCTCTCCTAAAAAAAATCCTTCTATAGCGTTTGAAAAGTTAAAAGCGGAAATCGTAAGTATCACAGAAAACAGTCACTTTGATATAAAAGAGAAGACAAGATTGAAAACAGATGCTTCACACAACGGACTAGGTGCGACTCTAGAACAATTACAGGGCGACCAGTGGAAAACAATCGCAATCGCATCTAGATTTTTGAATAACCATGAAATGAAGTATTCTACCAATGAATTAGAGTTGCTGGGAGTCGTATGGGCAACCGAACACTTTGGAAACTACCTGTATGGAATTGAATTTCAAATAGTAACAGACCATAAAGCATTACTATCAGCACTCTCAGCAAACCATGGGAATAAAACGATGCAAGGTCGATTGACCCGTTGGGTGAACAGGCTTTTACCATTCAATTTTAAAATATCGCATTTACCGGGAAAGGATATGGGTTTTACAGATCTTTTATCTAGACTTCCTTCGGGCAAAGCCCTCCCAATTTCTCACTATGACGATGAATTTGTAGTCGCTTCAATCGACAAAATTCAGAAAATTCTATTGAATAAACAACATTCTAAAATTGTTATTGTAACTACTGTAGATAGACCAGCGGTCGCTGTAAATACTAATTCTCGAGTTATTACAATCCCGTCAAGAAACAAAAATTCAAGCAACGTGACGTGATTGGTCAGAATCAGTTAAAACGCTCTTTAGCTTTATTTAATCTCAAAATTATTGCTGCTATCATATCTTGTATCGCTCGGTCGATAAAAATTTGTCATAACAATCATACTCGGACAAAAAATTGTACTTCAAATTGCCAACCTGTTGATAACTCGAAATTCAATCTTAAAATTATTACCTTTACGGACAAAGTCCTGTTACATTTTATATTAGAAAACAGACAATTTTTACCATCCTCCAAAAAAAACTAGAATTCCCAATAGATAAAGTTAATGAACTCCTACTGATCATCCCCGAAGAACACAAAATTGCTCTCAAATTCAGAGATGACCGACTTTCACCGAGACCACGCGAACCTCGTAAGAAGATACAAGGCGGACTTAAATCTACCGAATTCCCCGATTCGCCCTGAAAACCACTGTTCAAAGAAACTGCTGCAAATTATGACCGGGGAAGAGAAAGTGCTGTGGGACTTGATCGAGACGATAAAGACGAATCGACCAATGGGCATACACGGAGCTTACATGAAAATCTACGCCAAAGATCTAAGCGTTAAGGACGATTTGCTTTTCCTCGATAACAAATTCGTCTTTCCACCTACCATCAGGAGAATTTTCAATTTGATGCTCCATGAGACTCATCCAGGACAGTTTGGGATGAAATCACTAGCCGAATACTTGTGCTGGCCGCACATTTATCGAGAAATTTACCACCACGGGAGAGCGTGTAGTCAATGCTTAAAAGCTGGTAAGAACATTAAAGTTTTATTAGGGACTCATAATATTTCGAAACTTCCGACGTTGACATTCGCGAATGAAGAAATCAATCTGGACTTTGCGGGACCGTTAGACACGTTCTGGGATAACAAAAAATACATCCTTCTTTGCATTGACCGCTCTACAAAGTTCCCTTTGGCCAAAATCGTTAACCTCTACGAAAACACCTCTACGAAAAATGTAATTTCCTTCTTAAACGATTACTGTCATCTTCACGGGTTCCCAAGAAAAATCAGAGTCGACCATGGGTCATGCTTTTTATCCCATGATTTCAAAAACTTCTGCAAAAAATTCAACATTGAAATTATTTACTGCACAGTCGGCGAT